TGAAGTTTTTGGATCAATTACTGAGGACAGTAGCAAATCTTCACAATTTTTGATCAAGGTTTTCGCCATTATTGGCATTTTCCTTGTTTTCCTTCAGTGTTTCCACTGGCTACTAAAGATATCCAATTCTGAAAAATAGTTACTTTATGTCCCATTCCTTGATGAGAAACATTTTGGTTTACTTCTGCTACTTCACATCTTTTTTATAAGGTGAATTAAAATTCAATTTTCTCTTTACTTCATTCATCAAGATCCTGCACAATCATTACCTTCTAACCTTTTGTACATAAAGCCTCCATCTAGAATAGATATTGAATGACAGTATTAATTCCAGAATTGCTTACTTTTGAGTTTTCATCATTTTTATTGTCTTTGAAAAGCCTTGCAATTTCCTTCTTTTACAGTTGATTACTGGAAGATTTACAGATAGCCATAGATCTTAGAATGTGTCTCAAGACAACTCCATTCAAATGAATCTTAGCTACTGCTGTTTTGTCGCAAGTCCTTTAGTAGCCATTTCTGCTTTGTCTTCACTTTGGCATGAAGTAAGTAACAATTCCAGTGCCTATATATATATGCACAAAATCAATCAGATCTATCTTTTGAGATTTTGCCAACTCTTAGTAGTGTCTGGTGGGACAGAAAATTCTTCCACATTAGGCAGCTAACCCTAGGTATTCCTGAACACAGGAGTTACAGTGAAAATAATAGAAACAAAATGGAATTGGAACTGAATACAGTTCAATGGTACTGAATACAGTTCAATCAGTAAGAGAGTACTTTGAGGTAACTTATACAGGATTTTCCAACTCATCATGGAATTGTGGAGTTGGAAGGGACAACAAGGATTACCCAGTCCAATTTTTAAATTAAGCTCATAAAGACTAATTAAATAAGAGGTGGCTGTCCAGCGTCTTCTGAAAATCCTTCAAAACTGGGAAATCCAAGTGAGGTGTTTTGGCCAGTTAGATGTCTCCGCAGACACACACAGCGATGGGATTGCCAGCTAGGACTCATTTCTGGCTTACAGAAAATTTATCTGGAGGAAGGAGAAATCAGGGGGTTATCCATTTGTGCTCCGGAAGAGCTTTTTCCTCATTTTTTTTTAAAAAAGGTGGAATTTTTTTGTGAGTGCTGTGCTGTGATCCCTGGGTGATATACAAAATATAAAATTTATATATAACTATTATAATAGAAAGCAGCTAAAATGAGAATAAGATAATTAAAATTAAAAAGGTGGGGAGGGGCTTTGGGTTGCTAACCAGCCCCGCGGCTATGTGTTCCTCTGAGATGGCAGAATCAGGTCTTCAGACAGTTCTGGAAGGCCAGGAAAGCGGGGGGGGGGGTCTTTTTTTTTTTTTAAAGGATATTTTATTGGCAAAAGTTTCATTTTTCTTAATCATTGAATGATCTAATTCAGGGGTCTCCAATTTTGGCTAATTTAAGACTTGTGGACTTCAACTCCCAGATTTCCTCAGCCAGCAAATTCTGGAAGTCCACAAGTCTTAAAGTGGCCAAGGTTGGAGACCCCTGATCTAATTGCCTGCAACCCAAGAGAGATATTCCGAACAGCAGGGAAAATTAAAAAATCATGATGAGTATCTTCTTTTTTGAAATTAAGAAGAGGAGAACAAAAACTATTTTAAAGGACTTTAATTTAGAATGTTGACAAGTTTATGGTACTAGAAAGTTTCAAATGGCAAAAAGATAGTGATTTAAAAAACTAAAAGAACATTTTTTTGCGGGGGGGGGGGGCAAAGGTATTTTTGAAAAGCAGTAAGCTTAATTACACTAACAGATCAGACCTTGTAGGAAAGGCAGAACATTTATATACGCAACAGATTACTTGCAACAATTAAAAAAGAAATGGAAGAAGGATCTGCAGGAAAAAGATCTGAAAAAAGAGAATTGAAAAATCTTTAGAAGTTAAGAGAACCTGGCTGCAAATTAAAGCAAACTACTGATAAAATGTAGGTTTTTGAATATAAGACAGAAATTAGATATAAAGAGATGGGAGAACGACTTGGACAATTTGCATTATTGGAATTTAGAAAGAAAAAAGAATTTTGCTTAAGATTTAGTGCTGGGGATAGTGGTGAAAACTTGTGCCGATTAGCAGGGGTCCTGACAAAGATCTTTAACATCTCCCTGCAAACAGCCTGTGTTCCATCATGCTTGAAAACAGCCACTATTGTCCCAGTCCCCAAGAAAACAGCAATTAACTGTCTAAATGACTACAGACCTATCGCATTAACGTCAGTAATGATGAAATGCTTCGAAAGACTGGTTCTCCAACCTTTTAGGACATGACTCCCACCAGACTTTGACAAACATCAGTTTGCCTACAGGGGGAACAGGTCGACAGACGACGCCACAGCTACTGCCTTACATTCTGTAGCGAGCCATCTGGAGAAACCCGGAAACTATGTCAGGATGCCTTTCACTGACTACAGGTTGGCCTTCAATACTATCCTGCCGAGCATCCTTATAAAAAAGCTGATTGACTTGGATTTTCCCTCTTCCATCTGCGACTGGATCAAAAACTTTCTGAGGGACCGAGCACAAACAGTGAGGGCTGGGTCTGTCACATCCACCTC